TCCCGCCTAGGGGCACCTGGCGACCTCAGCAGGCACAGGCCTGGAGCGTCCCAGACGTATTCCCGCGGCTATAAAGGGTGGGCGTTTGTGCCCCCTCGGTGGTGTGAACCCTTGGTGGTGAGGCGCTCAGCAGGAAAAGGCCTAAGGAGAGGAAGCCCGCGGTGGCATGGAAGGCCCCCAAGAGCAGGAGAGGGAGTGGGCTGAGCTGAGCAGGGGAACTAGCTCGAGGGGTCCGCCAGTCCACCAGCTCCTCGCTGAGCCACCAGTGTCGACCAGGCTGCTGCAGGCCTGTTAGGGAACAAAACAGCCAAACTCCCCCCAGAGTGGGTCCAGTTCTAGTGGCACCGCACCAACAATAAACAGCAAACATTTTAAATTCAGAATTATAGAGTGTGTTAAATGGTGGTAAGTGCTATGGGGAAAACAGAGCAGAGGAAGGAAGGTGAGGAGTTGGGTTGCGAGTTTATGTAGTTAGGTGGTGAGGTTTCTAAAAAACTTGAAGGAAATGACAGAGTATTCCACAGAGACGAAACAACCAGTGCAAAGGCCCTGAGGTATGAGTGGTGGCATGTTGTGTGGGAGGGACCGCTCTGAAGACAGTGTGGCAGGAGTAGGGAGCAAACGGGTGGGAGGAGGGGAAGGCCAGGTCAGAAAGAGCCATGTGGGTAAGACAGGAACCCCAGGGAGGGCTGTGAGCAGAGAAGGACAGAATCCCATTCAGAGGTAGCCATCTCTATGACCAGTTCAGCCTGTGTACCCCACCCCCCAGGGCAAGGGAGACATCCGTTGCGAGGGTGAGGCTCAGAGGGCTTTGCTGGGTCAGGCACGGTGGAGGCCCTGGGCTGACCTGTGGCCTCCCTAGGACCCCGGGTCCTCAGGCCTTTCCACCAGGTGGGTGGCAAATGATGCAGCCCCCCTGGGGAGCACCGCTGGAGCAAGGAGGGGGCGGTTGGGGTCTTAAATTGCCAGACCTCAGAGGAAGTTTCACCGGGGCGGGGGTGGGGGAAGAAGCCTGACTGCAGAGACCCTGCGTCACTCCTTGCAGATGAAACAGCCCCAATTCTTGATCTTGCTGCGTGGGATTGCTGACCGCCTTTCCCGTTGTTTGTTTGTTTGCTGTTTTCTTTTTCTGGGGATACAGCCCCATCTCGTGGTCTTCTGTAGGCATCAGCACTGAAGCCCACTGGCCGCCTCTCCCCTTTCTGAGCCATGATGCGTTTCAGTTGGCAGCCCGGAGCTTCTCCTCCCCCAGGGGGGCGGCCCCACATCCTTGCCTTTACTTGGGCCAGTCAGCAAGCACGGTGGGATTCTGCTACCCTCCTAACCCAGACAGACTGGGCCTTCCTGGGGCGCTGCGGTCTGATGGACCGTCACCTGTTTGCCTAGTGTCGGGTTGCCGGGAGACCTGAGCTTCGGGGCCTGGAATCATCCTTCAGCCTCTCCTTTGCCCCGGTGGCCCACCAGGGTCGTAAGAGAGGCCCCTCTCCAGTTCCACAGTCTCCTGATTCTTCCTTAGGCATATGCCCCATTCCTGCCTGGGCGTTACTCGGGATCAGGGTCTGTGAGAAGAACTTGCCATGTCTCTCTTTGCAGGCTTGAGGGTATGGGAGACTAGGTCTCATGGATGGACACTTGGGTGTGACCACTGTGCATGACTGGCCCCCTGGATGCACCTTGTGGCGTCGAATTTCAGTGTCGGGCTCTGTCTGCAGGCTAACCCTGTCCGTAGTGTGTTTTCCTCAGGAAGTCACAGCTCAACAATCTCTTCTCTTTTGGGAGCTTGGAAGGGACCCCAGCAAGTTGTGGGAGGTGGCTTTCAATTTGCGTATTTTCCAAAATGGCTCATGACCCGGCAGGACAGTCATGGTAAGGAAAAAAGAAGTTGGTACTGTCCTTCAGAACATTCTGGTAGTGGCCTGAGAAGCCTTGCTGCTATCAGTATTCTTCGCCTGCACACACACCTATAGCTTGTGCCAGTCCCCTGGTGGCTGACAGCGTGTCATCATGAGGCACACGTGACCTGTGGACATCAAGATTATTTGACAGTGACACCTTTTGCCCCTCCCCCTCTTTTTTTCGTTGAGATGGGATTCACATAACATAAAACTAGCCACTTCAGAGCCAGTGACTCAGTGGCATGAAGCACATGAAGCAACCATCCCCTCTATCTAGTTCCAGAACCTTTTTTTTAAGATATTTATTTGACAGAGAGATCACAAGTAGGCAGAGAGGCAGGCAGAGAGAGAGGAGGAAGCAGGCTCCCCGCTGAGCAGCCCGATGCGGGGGCTCGATCCCAGGACCCTGGGATCATGACCTGAGCCGAAGGCAGAGGCTTTAACCCACTGAGCCACCCAGGCGCCCCAGTTCCAGAACCTTTTTATCCCCCAGAGAGAAACTCTTTCCGGGAAGCCAGTGCTCCCAGCGCCCTCCCCCTCAGCCGCTGGCCCTCCGGATTTACCTGTGCTGGAGATGTCACACAGTTTGTAACACTTCAAGCTTTCTTGATGGGAAATCACAGGTCAGTGACATTCAGAGTGATCAAAGGCAGACCTCTTTGTTACAGCTCCGAAGGAGAGGAGGCGGCCACGTGGGACCTTATGGGGCGGGGGGCGGGGGGGGGACTGGAGGAGGGGTAGGTAGTTTCTGCAGGGTCCCTGTGCGTTGGCTAATCTGGATGATTTCTCAGGCACTGGGGCATGGGGGCTCCTTAGTTGTCGGGTGCCTGGCTCCAGAGTGTGGGAGCCTGATAAAGGGGGGGAGGGTTGGGGGAGTGTGTTTAGTGGTCCCAGAGCGAGGAGCCCCAATCAGGGAGATACTTGGGGTGGGGGCTTAGCCAACTGGCCAAGAAAGGCCGAGAAAAGAGAACTTTTTGACGTAACTTGGAAACTAGGTCAAGATGGCTCTTGTGAACTACTAGATGACGTCACATAGGCGGAATCGCGCAGCATGTGGCCTCTCGTGTCCGTGCCTGGCTTCTTCCATGGAGCGTGAGGTCTCCAGGGTTCATCCACACCGCAGCACGGAGCAGTACTTCCCTCCTCTTTATAGCCAAACAGCATTCCACCATGGGCACAGACTCCGGTTTGCTGGGTCCCTGTCTTGGGTTCTTCCACCCTCTGGCTGCTACCGGTCCGGCTGCAGTTAAACCCAGCGCGTTCGTTTTGATGTGAACACCTGTGGTCAGTCCTCGGGAATGTATACTCAGGAGGGCAATTGCTCGGTCACGTGATGGAGGGACCACCAGACGAATCTCCCTTTTCATCTCGTGCGCCGCTGCGCAGACGGACAAACAGAGCACAGGCGCCCACCTCCCCGGGTTTGCCGGAGGCCTCCAGCTTGCCTTATTGGCGAGTTTCTCTTTCTTTCTGTTCCTCCTTTCCCCTGCCCCTCCCTCCTTCTCTCGGTCTCTCTCTCTCTCTCTCCCCGTCTCTCTTGCCTTTGTTTTTACGGAAATATTTTAAAGTAAGTTTACATGCCATTTTCTCCGTAAGTGCTTCTCGAAGGACATTTCATTCCATGACCCGCTGCCATTATCCGGCCAACACCTGAGCAGCACCGGCCCCACAGTCACCCCTCCAGGCCCCCAGTGCCTTTGAGTCCTCTGTCCTGCACACCAGCGTCTCACCAAGGACTCCCGTTGCACTTGACTGTTGGCCATGTACATCTCTTTTCCTCTAGAACAGTCTCTCTTGCCGGCCTCCTCTTTTTGCCATGACACTGATATGAAGAGGAGACCGGGTACAGCCCACCATCTACACCGGGCTTGTTGCTTCCTTGTGGTCTTCCCTCTGTCCCCAAGATCCTTTATAAACTGGGTGTGGGCTCCCAAAGCTGCATTAGAATCCGGCCAAGCTTTGGAAGAGCCTTGTGCACTCTCCACGGTGCCATCCCCACAGCAGGCATGTCCCAGCTCTGCCCAGGTTAGCTTTCTGTCTTGTGACCAGCAGCAAACAGGGGAAGACATTTTGACATCACGTGGCCATCCACTATCCCTAGGTCTTTCACCCGGTGGTTTTAGTGTCCATTCTGCTTTAAGGGATTCTTTCCATCTTCATCGGATACATGAGTTTATTAATTCTCAGCCAATGCTGATTGAAAGCTCATCACTGGTGATAAGGGACTCGGCTGCGGTTTAAATGCTGTGCCACCCTGTCCCCTCACCCTCTCTCCTGTAGCAGAAATAAGCCGCGGTCGCCCAGACAGCATAAGCACCTGGTTCCTCTGCTTCCCCACGGGGGATTCCACCTTGTGGCCTCCCGTTGGTGGTGACAACAGCCTTGGAGCAAACCTTCCTTTGCCCCACTGTTTTCCAGTATTGAAAATTGATGTGGCGAAATCTGATTCTGCCCGCTTTGGCAATGACATGCTCTTCCCGCCCTTAGTGTGAGCCCCAGCTCCTGTCTGTCCCCAGAGTGCCCACACGACCTCACCTTCTGGACACCCCACCCCGCCCCCCATTTCAGCACCATGACCGCTGAGCTTGGACCTGTCTGAGGGCCGGATATGGGCCATGCCGTTAGCCTCCTGCTCTCTCCGCTCACCCCCAGCCTTCAGCTCTCGTCCTGAAGGTCCCTCCTTCAGAGAGCACCCCTCTCCCAGCTAATGTGGGTCCCTCCAAAGTGCATCTCACTATTCTGATCTTTCTCTTTTCCTCGAGAGTGGGACTGCTTCAGGCGGAGTGGGGTGTGTGTGTGTGTTCTGGAGTTTTTCTGTAAGGACCCCAAGCCGAGAGGAAAAGGAGTCGGCACTAGAGCTTCCAGGAACGGCTGGGAAGTTGGGGCAGGGGTGCTGCTTCCATGGGAGGAAGGTTTCATACGCCCTGTCTGGCGGCCCACCACCCCGGTGAGGAGAGAGGACAGGAGCCCACAGAGACGTGCGGAAGTCCTGTCCCCCAGTGGCTGTGAACGGGACCTCACTGGGCTGAGGTCATGCTGGAGTAGGGTGGACCTCATCTCATACTTGGCTTTTTCCAACCCCGGTAGCTTCTTTGCACCCCTGCGATGGCAGCCATTCTCTTGAAGGCCAAACCCAAGGTGAGTGGAGCTCCCTGACTTTCCCCATTTGCCACCTCTTCGTGTCTCCCCTTAACTGCTGAGTTCTCTGGGTCTCCCTGCCCCCAGTTTAGTTGCTGCCTGCCCATTCTGAGATTCATGGGGATGAAGTCCCCTGCAGCCACAGGAATGACTTCTTTTAGGTGCCAGTGTCTTTTGAAGATGTGTCCGTATACTTCACCAAGACAGAATGGAAGCTTCTGGATGTCCAACAAAGGATCCTCTACAAGACAGTGATGCTGGAAAACTATCGTCATTTGGTGTCCCTGGGTAAGGATCGGACACACATATCTAATCCCCCTACTCTGTTTCTGTTTATTTTTAAGTTTCTTTGTTTGTTGGTTACTGTGAGCCCAAGAATAAATGCATTTTCCCATCGGAGCAGTAATCTCCTGGAGCCCGGCTTTTGTCTCAGTAGGACAGTTTTTAGCTAAATGGTTTTGACCTGCAAGTGGTAAATGCGTGGGCCCCCATCGAACTTATTTTGCATCTAAAATCACACGTTAAGTAAAAGACGCGCATTATCCTTGAATATTTATATGCTGCTGTAGACTTTTTTCATTATCAAGGTGGAATTGTACATTCATTTCATGTTACGGAGTTCAGCTGTTCTTTTTCCTTGTATCAAGGCTAAGACATGCACTCGGCTCTCTGGCCTACAGAAACCCGGAAAGGAGCTGGGCAGGACCCCCCCACACACCCACAGACACCGCTGCCGCCGGCTTGCAGGGGTCTGTTTGCTCCATTTCTTTCCTACAGATTTCATCTCCCTCATCTAACCACAGAGGTAGACTAGTTTCTTCCCCTTGGTTCTTTCTGACCCTCACCATGCAGATCCAGGGCTCAAAGGGGAGTTCTGGATTTGTCCGTTGAGTTTGGCATAAAGGGAATGAGCCATCTGTTCTGTTCGATGATGGAAATGGGGCTTCGGCTCTCAAGGCGCAGGTGTGCCTCAGCTCTGTCGGTTCCCGACCCTCCCTGGGGCCCTTGTGTGCCACCTTGCGCGGATCCCTGCCCTTAGTCCCTTGGGATCTTCACACAGATTCCCCCATTTCCCACATGCCTACTGCCCTCCCCGCAGGCCAAATAGTAACATCGTTATGCTCTTGACCCCAGTCCCCATGGACTTTGGACTGCCCATGGCCACTGGGGGCTCCCATGCGTTCAAATTCCTTTGCTTCCGTCAAGAGAATCTGTCCTTGCTCTGGACCTTCGCAGTGGCGCTCTCTTAGAGGCTTCTTTGTTCTCTGTTCCTGACGATAGGAAGGCTGGGCTGAGTACAGGAATGTCACTGATCTGCTTCATTTCCATGGACAGGATTTTTATCCACCAAGCCTCACCTGGTCTCCTGGCTGGAACAAGGGGAGGGGCCCTGGGCAACAGACGTCTGGAGAACACTGGCCACCGCGGAGATGCAGACAGGTGATTGTGGGGCGCTGGGCTGGCTGCCCTGAGCCAGTCACAAGGAGCAGCCGCCCAAGCAGGGTATTGTGACCACTCTGGGTGGGAAATTCCCTTTTGTGGCCCACTTAAATCGCCCAAGGAGTCCTCGTTGAGACCCCGGGTGAAGGCAGCACCTCTTGCCGTGTCCCTCCACTGCTTCCAGCTCCCTCCCGCGCCCCGTCCCCCTGTCCTGATCCGTTCCTTCTCAGCTTTGGTGTGGGTATGAGGCAGGAGAACGAACCCTAAATAGAGCTGCGGGGAGAGCGCCCCTGGTAGGTGTTCTGTGTCGTTACAGGAGACGGGATACAGACCGGGACGTCGGTTTCCGCACAGAAGCGTGGCCCCGAAGAACTCCCGGGGCCCGATCGTCGGGCGGGTGACGATCGCCCAGTGGCCGGGCCGCCAGGGGACGCGCCGGAGCAGGGAGTGAGACGGGCTCCCTCTCCGCAGACGAGGTCCAGCAGGGGTGACCCTCCCCGGGAGAAAGGTCCCGGCGGCCCGTCCGGGGCGGCCGGAGAGACGCCGCGGAGGAGCAGCCCCCGCGTCGGGCAGGAGCGGGTTCCTGGGCGGCAGGGAGCGCGCGGCGCCGAGAAGCGCTACGTGTGCCAGCAGTGCGGCCGCGCGTTCAGCCGCAGCTCCAACCTCATCAAGCACCGGGTCATCCACAGCGGCGAGAAGCCATACGCGTGCGGCGAGTGCGGGAAGCTCTTCCGGCGGAGCTTCGCGCTGGTGGAGCACAGGCGCACGCACAGCGGCGAGCGGCCGTACGCGTGCGGGGACTGCGGCAAGGCCTTCACGCGCAGCTCCAACCTCATCAAGCACCAGGTCATCCACAGCGGCGAGAAGCCGTACGCGTGCCCCGAGTGCGGGAAGCCGTTCCGGCGCCGCTTCGCGCTGCTGGAGCACCGGCGCACGCACAGCGGCGAGCGGCCCTACGCGTGCGGGGACTGCGGCAAGGCCTTCCGCCGCAGCTCCAACCTCATCGAGCACCAGCGCACGCACCGCGGCGACAAGCCGTACGCGTGCGGCCAGTGCGCCAAGGCCTTCAAGGGCGTGTCGCAGCTCATCCACCACCAGCGCAGCCACAGCGGCGACAGGCCCTTCACGTGCAAGCAGTGCGGCAAGGCGTTCCGCGGCTGCTCGGGG